TGGTGAAGATGAGGAAAGCTTGCCGGAGCCAAAAGGAGTTTTGATACCTACTTCGCGCCCAAATCTCATTAAAAATTCGTTAAAAAATGTATAGAGTTTAGGGCCATAATAACTTTGAAAACAGTTTTTAGGATACTTATACTAGATTCGTTCTGCTTGCCTGGGGTATTTTAGTTCTGAACCTTGTCATTTCATTGAGGGTTTTTTTGGCGATTAAAACACCACGCCTGCTAAAACGGGTTGGTGAGTTTCGATTCAGCTACCCATTCTGGATCAGATGCTGATTGCAGCCGACCACTCTGGATCAGAAGCAGATGTTTAAAATACTGGTTGGTCGACCATATAAAGAACATCCCTTTTATCTTCATTTTTCCAATGCCTAAACGGAGTCTCTAATATATTACACACCAAGTCATTAATTGGAATCATGTCTGTCTAAAATTATTTTTGTCCAAACGAAATCCACAAGAACACTTTATATCCGAAATCCGAAACAAACCACAGAGAAATGTATTAATAAAGTGCACTAAACAAATAAAATTAATACTATGGCTAAACTAATAAATACTACATAAAAATATCTATATAACAGACTAAATTTCAAAATATTGTCGCTGAGAGAAATTTCCGAAAAATAGGAATACCAAATACACATCCAACAGTGGCAGTGAAGACGGATAATGAATTTTTAGACAGAACTGCACTCGTCAGTTTTCTCAGCTATCACTAAGGATATGCTGACGACACGTTGCCATGGCAACCGTGAACGCTTGTGCAGATGAATTCCGCATTTCAAAAATGATATTCACCTATTTCTGAATCATACACGGCTATAGAAAATGTCACACCGAGAGTGCAGTACGGCTAATATAGGAATGCACAATTGGCGGATTTCACGCCTTGTGTTTGGCGATACATACATAGTCAAAGAACCGTACCCAGATCTCTACGCCGGGCTCTGTTATTTATTATAAAATAATATATTGATAAAATAATTGCCTTCAAGTAGCCAAATAGGAGGCATGAATTTGAATAAAAAGACCTTGAACCTTTGAATAAAAGTTTTTAGCGAGAATTTTATTATAAAACTGTATACTTTATTAAACTAACAAATGTATTTTAAATTACATTTATTGATAGCTATAAATATACGGGGTGGAACCTCCGGTAACTCGATTTCCATGCACCCAGCCCAATATCCAAGAAAAACTTTTTCTTTTGTAAATATATGAAAAATTATCAGGAACGGGAATATCGAAAAAGCTTTGCACATTTTTTAATCCCGGCGATGTTATTAAAAAAACAAGTTGCGCAATTGAATCACTGCGAAATTTTAACACCTACTATGAAATTTTTTTTGTGGAAATCTGAAGTGCAGGTTTTGTTCTTGTTAAAACATAATGCAGTCTCGCATTTTTTACACACAACATAAGTTTACCTAGTTCCTTGGCATAGCAACCTGGTAATTTTCAGCGAAACCTTGTGTTATTCCATATGGGATAATGGTTTTCCTTGCCCACACTTGACCAGATGAGCAGGTATAAGGTTTATAGTGTAAGTTATTTAACATTATATTATATTTATACTTTATTAAACTAACAAATATATTTTAAATTACATTTCTTGATAGCTATAAATATACAGGGTGTAACCTCCGGGAACTCGATTTCCGTGCACCCATATATCGATTCAATTCGCAGTGATATGGAGGAAGCCTTAAAATATAAACATTATGTTGTGAAGCATACTCATCAAGATGATACTTATCGTATTGATCTTTAAAAGCACGCGCTGCTTCTAATGGTTCGAATTTCAAATAACACTCCTCGAAAAAAATGTCTTTTTCCACTAGCTATTCCTTGATTGCAGCTTTATTCCAGGAATTGTTAGGGAATCTCTCTTTACGGGAGTGGTACGATGCATTGTCCATTACAATGACATTCCTGCGACCATTATTTGGTAAATTTGATATTAATGTCTCCTTAAACCACGACTTAAAATATGCGGCATCCATTTCATCGTGATAGTCGCCATCATTTTTCTTTGCCAGAAAAACACGCTGTGTGCCAGGAATGAAACCTCCTGAAAAACCTGCATGCAATAAAACATATCGTGGACCTCGTTTAGTAGGTGCTTTTAAGCCAGTACTTAAACCTTTGAGAAAAGCATCACGACTGTTTTGTATCGTAGTATCGCACCATTCGTAATTTATAGATTGGCCAACATTAACCCACGATTCGTCCAAATATATGATATTGCAATGGTCTTTTCGCAAACGTCGTATAGTTCTCAAATAATTATGGCGCCAATGAATAATATCCTCTCGCTCCACCATGATGCTTCTTCGGCCACGTTTCTTATAAACAAATCCAATATCTTTCAGAAGTCTGTATAAAGTAGAAAGAGACAACGGCTGTATATTCTCATTACCTTGTATGAAGTTATGTATATGCTTTAAGAATGGCGGCAAATTTTTTCATGAAAAATTCACAATGAACAATTCTCCGTAGAATACTTTCTCTACACCCTCGTCATATGTGAATATTCTAGAATTTGACACACTCGTTTTTTACGTTTTTTGGCGATTTCAACGTTCCACTCTATTCTTTTTCTTTTTTGAAATTGTAAATGCTTCTTTCGCCAACACCAGTCATCAACGAAGTACGTCTTGCAGCAGCACTTACATTAAGTTGTTCCGTATTTTGTAAAAAACACAACATATTTAACACTATTCTTTGTTCAAGTTAAGAAAATAACATTACGCTTATGGAGATCAGTGTTGCCAAAACTCTCAGACACTCTCTTTTGCACGGAAGTCCAAGATATTCCCTTTGCTTAATTTTGAATTTTCATTTTCAATTAATATTTAACTCTAAAGTCAGAATAACTATATACGAAATAAAAGCCTTATTATCATTATGTAGTCAGAGAACGACATAAAATAGCTGACATATGCACATCGTATTATTTTAAGTTGCAATTAGTAATTAGATATACGCATTCCAAGCGGTCAATATTTTCTACTGATTTCTATGATTCATGGCATATCGTATTCTCACCGAAAAACAAATAAACTGTCGTTACTATACTTAATTAAAATAAGATAAAATAAAAATTATCTTTTGTAAATACTATTTATCTAATTAAAATCATTTTCCCTACTTTTCATCTCTTGTTTCGAATGGACACTTTTGGTCAATTACGTTAAAAAACATTAATTTAATTCATGTTTGTGGAAAAGAAAATACAAATTATACAACCCTAAATTGTGCTTGTGTGTGTCGTGGCAACGCCGCGTTGCTATCGTCCATAAGAATACATGGTAGTATCTCCACAATGTTATTTTCTAGACGTGGAACGTTAGTATAGGAGTTTAGCGCAACCGTTAAATATTTCACCGGATTTAAACTTATGGGACTCCATGCTCTCTGTTGAAACTCGGACTAAATTTTGAAGTGTAGTTTCGTTTTCCAAAAGCACTTTCACCCCCTTAGGGGTGAAATAGGAAAAGCTTGGAGTTTATCAAATACTAATTATGACAAACAAGTTTATGGCCATATTTAGGTGATTATGTTAATGATGGTAATTTGTAGCAGAAGTTTTACAAAAGAAATGAAGACCTATTTATAGAAAACAACATAACTGTATTAAAACATAACATAAAACATTAAAACTACAGTTATTGTATGTTGTTCTTGTAAAGAGGTGTTCAAATGTTACTCTTATGAATATGATTCAATTGTATATCTCATGTTGACGTTTTATATGCAAAATTCATAGTTTCCGTTGTCAATAACTCATCAATGCCGTTTTATTCTACTGTATACGTATACATACATGATATAAAATATTTTACTCTTACTGCCGGCAGATGCATTTTATCCAAGCCGGTCCTGTGAGACAATGAGCAATCAACAGCTGGAGAAAACCGACAACCCTGCGCGTTTATTCTCCATAAGAAAAGCATTGCCGTATCTTTCCCGTACTGCACTCTCAGTGTGACGTTTTCTATAGTGACACAGGTCAGGACTTGACCGTCAAGTTCCTACCGCTAATAAAGCTAGTTGCCTTTTTTAATTTTTAGATTAATTAAAAGAGAATAAATAATTTATTTCAGAATTTATATATATATATATATATATTATATATATATATTATATATATAATATAAATTATATAATTTATAGATATAATAATGTTGCTTTCATTTTTTATTTATTTGTCTCAATTTAATTATATTTTTTTAGTGAACCTTACCTTCACCTGGTCGGACGCCGCTGTGTTGGACTTCACATTAACTGTTTTAGATTACACCACTTGAGATAAATTTATTTTGTTTATAATTTTAAGTTTTCTTTGTAAACGTTCATTAGTTTCGTTTCTATTATTGTATAATTTCTAATAATAAAGAACATGGTGTTGTGAAAGCCTAGCGTATGAATATTTAGACAGCTATTTACAACCACTTAGGTATAAGTAAAACTGGAAGTTGTAAAAGAGGGTCCAGTTGCCGATACCAGCATACCGTTTCAGTTCCAGTCCCGACAAGGTTCCAGGGGGAACCATCTTTTAAGAGGGGGCAATGTTACGATAAATAATGACTCATATCTAAACTGTAAACATCTTTTTTTATTTGAGTATTTTCTAGTAAGAAGACCCACGGGTACCGCTCGGCTAAAAACATATCTGGCGTGACCTTCCAGTCTTTTCGGCAAGGGTCAGGAAGGTCGACATCCTTCGATGAGATTCCAGATTAACGGTGCTTTATATATAAAGAGGAAATTTTATTGAAGACAGTTAGTTTTGAATTTCGAGTCGAGTTTTTGTCGGGAATATATATATATTGTAATAAATGTAAATAAATCATATAATTATAGTGTGAAAATAAATTAGTATAATATTGTATATAAAATTTAATCAACCAAGTGTTAGAACATTTTATAATAAATAAATAAAGTTAATAAATTAGACTTATAAATTCAGTACAATTGCATGAGTTTCTGTCATACTCTAAACCATTTATTTTTTCTTTAAGTATTTTGACTTTGGATTTAAGCTGCATAGTTTCATTTTTTAATGCTTTTATTTCAGCTAGGAAACTTCGATTTTTAGAAATTAGCAAATTTTTCGTACATAAAGTCAACAGATTCTTGCAATTTTTCCACAGATCGCCGTAATGAGTCATTAATAACAAGGATTTATAATTTTTTTTTCACTACTACTCTTTCCAGAAGCACATTTTACACTGTTTTCAGGTACCACAACCTCGTTTTGTTTACAATTTGAATATCGGATATTATTGGTTATTTGACATGTCCTTTCAGCACATCTTTTATGGAAAGCACTTTTCTTGCAAATATAGCATAATATAGCTTTTAATACTGATTTACTGCAATAATCAAACACTAAAGTTGTATTGCACATATTTAACCTAACCTTTTAACCTTTTTATCTAGTATGAAATCCTAAATGTCTTTGTCAATTAGCTTTGTAAGAAAACTGTTTAAAACAAATTTCACACTTGTAAGGCTTTTCTCCAGTGTGCGTTTTCAAATGTAATTTCAAATTAGTTTTCGCTGGAAACTGCTTAAAACAAATTTCGCACTTGAAAGGTTTTTCGCCAGTATGCAATCTCAAATGTGCTTTCAAATTAGATTTCTGAAAAAAATTCTTAAAACAAATTTCGCATTTAATAGTATTTTCACCATGGTGAACTTTGGCATGTGCATCCAAAGACGTTTTATGAGCAAACTGCGTTAAACAAATTTCACACTTGTAAGGTTTTTCTCCAGTGTGCAACCTCAAATGTCGTTTTAAATTAGATTTCTGAAAAAAATTCTTAAAACAAATTTCGCATTTAATAGTATTTTCACCATGGTGAACTTTGGCATGTGCATCCAAAGACGTTTTATGAGCAAACTGCGTTAAACAAATTTCACACTTGTAAGGTTTTTCTCCAGTGTGCAACCTCAAATGTCGTTTTAAATTAGATTTCTGAAAAAAATTCTTAAAACAAATTTCGCATTTAATAGTATTTTCACCATGGTGAACTTTGGCATGTGCATCCAAAGACGTTTTATGAGCAAACTGCGTTAAACAAATTTCACACTTGTAAGGTTTTTCTCCAGTGTGCAACCTCAAATGTCGTTTTAAATTACTCGAATCAGTAAACTGCTTAAAACAAATTTCGCATTTATAAGGTTTTTCGCCAGTGTGAACTTTCGCATGTCGATACAAGGATTTTTTTTGAGTGAACAGCCTAAAACAAATTTCGCACTTGTAAGGCTGCTCTCCAGTGTGAATTTTCACATGATCATTCAAAGAACTTTTATGAGCGAACTGCTTAAAACAAAGTTCACACTTGTAAGGTTTTTCTCCACTGTGCAATAACAAATGTGTTTTCAAATTACCTTTCACAGCAAACTGTTTGAAACAAATTTCACACTTGTAAGGTTTTTCCCCAGTGTGCAATCTCAAATGTCTATTTAAATCACTCGAACGAGTAAACTGCTTAAAACAAATTTCACACTTATTAGGCTTTACTTCTGTGTGAAGTATCATTTGTTTGTGTAATGAACTTCTAAGTTGCTTAATACAAATTTTACCCTTTGTTTCTTCTTCAATACGTCGGCGGATAGGCTCTTTTTTACTATATGATTGTCGATGTATTGTTTTCCTAGTTTCCGATGTGTTTTCCTCTTCAAGAAAACCTAAAAAAAAGTACTAGAATATATTTTTTCATTTCAAAAAAATCTAATGCAATAGAAAAGAAAATGTTATTAACTCAGCATCGTACGGCTGAAATACACTAAATTTGACACAATCTAAAATTTATTATTTTCAAAATATTGTTACGTTTTGTTGTGTTGGTTCAGAGATTAAGGCCCGGCGCAAATTGAGCACAGCCCACGCACATCCCACGCTCAGCCACGCGTGCGTTATTTTGTAAAACGTGGTTTTAGACGGAGCGACGCATTATATTTTCAGATTAGAAATTGTTAGTGGGATATTAGGTAAAAATTAAAAGGTCTTTAGAAAATAAAATCTTTATTTAAACTAATATACTGAAGACAGTCTAACTTTTCTTTGAATGGTATTTGCGAAAACAATCTCCTATGCATAGTCCAGCTTTTTCGTCACAATCAGCACACTCGTAAATTGTGTTTTTCCTAATTTTATGGATAGAACATATTCTACACAAATATTTGACATAGGCGTGGGCTGTGTTCAATATGCGTTAGTATTGAAAAACGTGTGGACTAGGTTGGACCATACGTGGGATGTGCGTGGGCTGTGCTCAATTTGCGCCAGGCCTATGCCAATAATAATCTCAGAGCCAGCCACTGCTGGCTTATATAATGAGAACAAACTGTGTGGACAACAGCTTACTGGGCGACGAGAATTCCGTAAATTCTGAAAGGTCATATTTGCGTCGGTAGAATCAGTTCATGGAATATTTCGGTGCTGAAGACAGACATCTGGAACGCACATGGCCTCAATGAGGGGTATGTGACTCTCAACAATATTGTTTGAAATGAAATCATTAATGGTAAAACAAACAACTAAACTATAATAAAACAGAGACTTTAACAAACAACGTTAGACATAGACACTTAACACCAATTAAAATAACTATTTTCGTTGGAAATAAGCCACAGTATAAGTCTATTTTCGACGTTTCGATTTCCACTTATTTCCAACGAAAATAGAAATTGCATTAAGATGCCACAAGAAAATAGCTTCAGAACAGTACCAATTATTAATATGTTTAAATGAATTTCTTTTGATAACACGTGCGTCATTTACCTTATGAATCACAATTTTTTGATTATATGTTTATTGTTATTTAAAAGAAATCGGAAAACCCATTGTGGGGTCATTGTATAACAAATTATTTCTGTGGAGTCAAAGACTGTTGGTCATCACATCACCTCTTTATTAATTTGCTATGCAACGTTTTTAGGTACAGATTATATTTGATTAATATTCTTACATACTAGTAAATTTGCCCGTCTTATGCGACGGGGGATCCAATCAATTGTCATCTACACTCATGTCATTAAATTTTTAAAATAATAAACTTTTTGCATATAATCCAAGTAAATATAAAGTATGTTCTAGTGCAGTTCTGACCTGACATTATGTTTTATTAATATACTCTATATATATATATATACATATATATATATATATATTATATATATATATATATATATATATATATATATATATATATATACCTGAGTATCAGGTTTTATATAATAAAACATAATGTCAGTAATATACTCTGTATATATATATATATATATATATATTATATATATATATATATATATATATATTATATATATAAACAACAAAGTTTATTGGGGCTGCAGTCAGAAGTTTGGCCGGGATGTTACAGAAACACTCTTTTGACTTTTGGTCTAGCTTTCGGAATTGTTTAATTCCTTTATCAAGACACTGTAATTAGAAAAATGTGTAAATATTTACAATATATCACAAAATGTCAGTGTACTTACTAGTCGTTGAGATTATTTGTACGAAGCTATGACACTCAACATTAATAACAAACATATACACTAAAACTTATACAATAATTGATACAATACATTTTAAAATTTCGTTAAAAATAATAAAGTTCTAAAAAGTTCGTTTTCTACATCTTCTTGGTGTGTTTTAACTTACCCATAGAGAATAAAAAAAAAACAAAAATAAAAATAGTATGATTAAAAATTCATTAGGAGTTCCGATTCATGTTCCCTAAAAGATAATTCCTGACAACTTAAAAAATTTACAATATCAATTAAACGACGTAAAACTGCGTGATTATTTTTTACATATTCGTTATGTTTAATAGCATTTTCACGTTGGGCATTATCTAATGAAAGTTAGATATTTTGTTTTCCAAATAAATCTAATTTAATCTGGCTGTAAGTATCTTTCGAAATATCATGTTTATGTAAAGCCCTAAATAATTCGTTTAAATTATCGTAACCAGATTGACACCACGGATTTTGATCTTTGCCCCTATTTGTCGAAAGTAAAATACAAGGCCAACAGAAAAGTTTGTTTTTTATTTCACTCCCGGTAAGCCATGAGTACTTGCCCCTTGTATAAGGACGCCCCTTATTTTTAATAACAATTTGTTCTTCGTATGGAATAGATGAAAATCCATTATGCAAAATATAATTTACAATATCAGACTTATCAATACTTACAGTTTCTCCCATGACTTGCATTTTTTTAGGTTAATTTACCTGAATTTGTTTACACTTTAATTAAAAAAAACTTCTAATTGTCAAAGAAACCATTTAACCTTTAACTATTTACGGCAGACGTAACGTATCACAGTATTACTTTAGAAAATAAAAATAAATCACAAAAACGTTCTTATATGACATAAAATTTCATCCCGCGCTAGCAATGTACAGTTCGCGACCAATCACCAATCCAAATGAAACATCGGCAAATTAAATTTGCCGTACTTGGTAATGTTCATATTCAGGAAAGAAATGTATATTTGGTTGCTAATCAACTAATATTCCGTTGATTTTTACAAGGTCGTCAAGGTTGGGATCGGCTGGCCGAAAAAACAAAACGTGCCTTTTTAAGAATTCACAGGCGGATAGATGTCTCTGATAAAGGATCATCAATTTGAAAAGTGTCTACGCAGGGATCACTTGACTCTCAGATTGGAAGAATTCTTTTAAAACCCATGAGCGAAACCTTTAGTCTGAGCGAATTCTTTTAAAAATCATGAATAAAATTTAGTCTTTATTATCTCACAGATATTTTTTTATTTCACAAAAAGAAATGACATCAACTGATTACCTGCCACAATTATTTATTGAAATACTGATTAAATTAAATATTAAAAAAATCTATATCTATAAAGGTGTGGGTCGGCACTGCCGACCCTGACCGGCCGCCACTGATAAAGCAGTTAAGTTATATTATCTGATACATTATGTAAACTACTACTTGTAATGTTTTAATTTCGAGGTTGCAGTCATTCATTGTAAGCGGCAGAATAAATAAAACTCTTTATTAATCTCTCAAGCTTTCACAAACTTTATTTGCATCTAAGGATATGCTAAAATAAATTTAATTATTTTTTCAGTACATAAAATAGAATTCAAATTAAAGAACATTGTATGGAAGAAGCATAAAAGATTAAAGGATGTTAGTCCATAAAATTTTTTACACAATCACAAAACATTAAAATTCTTAATCTATTATCAATTAATCTAGTAACTGATAATAAAGAAAACCGCGTAAAACAAAAGTTTCATATTGCGTATAAAATTTAAAAACGAATTAATCAAACTTTAAGGTTTTTCTACAGTATGCACTCTCAAATGCCGTTTCAAATTTGTCATTTCATTAAATTGCTTAAAACAAATTTCACACTGGTAAGGTTTTTCTCCAGTGTGCAGTCTTAAATGTGATTTTAAACTACTCTGTACTGCGAACTTTTTAAAACAAATTTCACACTGGTAAGGTTTTTCTCCAGTGTGCTGTCTTAAATGTGTATTTAAGTTACTCGAATTAATGAACTGCTTAAAACAAATTTCGCATTTATAAGGTTTTTCGCCAGTGTGAACTTTCTTATGTCCATCCAAAGAAATTTTATAAGTGAATTGCTTAAAACAAATTTCACACTTGTAAGGCTTTTCTCCAGTGTGCAACATCAAATGTGTTTTCAAATTAACTTTCTCAGCAAACTGCTTAAAACAAATTTCACACTTGAAAGGTTTTTCTCCAGTGTGCAGTCTTAAATGTAATTTTAAACGAACTTTTAATGCGAACTCTTTAAAACAAATTTCACACTTGAAAGGTTTTTCTCCAGTATGCACTCTCAAATGCCGTTTCAAATTTGTCATTTGATTAAATTGCTTAAAACAAATTTCACACTTGTAAGGCATTTCTCCAGTGTGTAGTCTCAAATGTGTTTTAAAACTGCTTTTTGTTGCAAACTGTTTAAAACAAATTTCACACTGGTAACGTTTTTCTCCGTTTTCTCTTTTTTCTCTTTTTTCTCCAGTGTGCAAACTCATATGATATCTCATATGACCTAGTTGAGAAAACTGCTTTAAACAAATTTCACACTGGTAAGGTTTTTCTCCAGTGTGCATTCTCAAATGTATTTTGAAACTACTCTGTACTGCGAACTGTTTAAAACAAATTTCACACTTGTATGGTTTTTCTCCAGTGTGCAATCTTATATGTTGTTTCAAAGTATGTTTTTCTCTAAACTGATTAAAACAAATTTCACACTGGTAAGGTTTTTCTCCAGTGTGCAGTCTTAAATGTCTATTTAAGTTACTCGAATTAATAAACTGCTTAAAACAAATTTCGCATTTGTTAGGATTTTCGCCAGTATGAACTTTCGTATGTCGATTCAAAGAAATTTTGTAAGTGAATTGCTTAAAACAAATTTCACACTTGTAAGGCTTTTCTCCAGTGTGCGACATCAAATGTGATTTCAAATTAGCTTTCTTAGTAAACTGCTTAAAACAAATTTCACACTTGTAAGACATTTCTCCAGTGTGAAGTGTTAAATGTGTTTTGAAACTACTTTTTATTGCGAACTGCTTAAAACAAAATGTACATTCATGTGGTTTTTCTCCAGTGTGAATTTTCATGTGTCTATTTAATAAACTTGTATGGGCAAACTGCTGAACACAAATTTCACATTTTAATATAT